CTCCCTCCCTCCCTCCCTCCCTCTCTCTCTCTCTCTCCCTCCCTCCCTCCCTCTCTCTCTCTCTCTCTCTCTCTCTCTCTCACACACACACACACACACACACACACACACACAAAGAAAAGCAAGCAACACACAGGCACAGGTATACACATAATGCACAATAAATACAAAAGCCAAAGCAGACAAAGAAGAAATGTTTTCTAGATAGCAATAATACTGTCCCTAGAGATAGACACTGGATAACAGTGATCCTATTGTCATCTTACAAGTGTAGGCTAGGAGGAGAAGTTAGCACACAATACAGAAATCAGTGTCTCGGAGCTGAGTGTGGTGTGGTAAACAATGAAGTGCTTGCCAAGCATATGAAGGCCATGGTGTCCATCCACAGTACTGCAAAACTGTGTCCATCCACAGTACTGCAAAACTAAAAGAAAAACAAAGAACCATTCCCTGATCAATATATAACAGTCTCACTAGTAAATACATAAAGGTATAATAAAATAAATGAATTAAAAAAATAAAGTACTCTAAACATGTGGCAGTGAAATACATGGAAAATAGTGTTTTACAGTTTTTATACATAAATTTCCAAAACTGCAAATGAAGCAACAGAACTTACTTTCTGTCTACTACAGCCCTACTTAAGGCACTGAAATCTATGTTTGTACTGCCACATTCCTCACAGATGCCAACACATGAATAAACTAATGTAACATCAACAGCCAAACATTTACGTATCTAAATGTTACTTGGCACTGGTTTTCTTTCTGCTTATTTTTATTTCTGTAAAATGCTAAGACATGATAATAGTGTTTTTAAACAGTGGGTAAGCAAATATTTTATATAAATAACTCATTCTAACACACTAAAGGGTATGGTGGTGCATGCCTTTAATCCCAGCACTCACAAGCAGGTGAGGTAGATCTCTGAGTTAGAAACCAGCTGGGGCTACATAGTGAGACCCTGTCTGGGAAGGGGGAAAAGTATTAAGGCATAATAAAGGCAGATCCTATGATATACACTAATGATTGATGACAGGAAAACCTGTATCTGGCAGAGTTGAGAATTAACTATACTAACTTAGTTCAGTAAGTATACTGGGTTTACTCACTACCAATTTATGTGCAATTCATGACAGGACAAATATGGTAATAAGTCTGGTCTTTGTCCTCAAAGAGGTCAGTCTCATAAAACATTCAATCTATTAGGTGTTCTATATTTAAGTTCCCCCCCCCCAAAAAAAACATACAAGTTACCTCTAGCAAGAAAATACAGGCTTTGCAAAATATCCAGCTTCGAGCCTGCTTCTAAAGAACAAACAGCAATCAAAGAGGAATTCAGTCGATAGCCAAAAGTAGAGGTAAGAATTTACAAAAGTCCACATGCTGCTTAGCAAATAACAGGAAAAGAAAGTCTCTAAGATGCTGGAACCTTATAGCTATCCTTAGTTTCACTCCCAAATTTTTCATAGCCCCAGGGGAAAGGGAAAAAACACCGTAACAATGAAAAATTGACAGCTGATGTATTTGGTGCTGACAGAGCTCACCACCTCATGAATTACTATGACTGTTACACAGCCTGGGTAAATATCTATTACAATGACTAAATATATTATCTAACCTAACCCTAATCTTCAAATGATACCGAGGAGGCTGGGTTCCCATTTTCTTAAGTAAGAAGAGAGGTCTCTCTGGGTAAGAAAGGTGCCTGATTATTTGATTTGCAAAAATTTTCAAGAGGAGACACTGAACAAAATAAAAGGCCTGCATCTCTGACTAATTGTTCCTACCAATTCTAGTACTTGATCCTTAATTGTACATTAAAAAGGAGATGGTATGCAAGAAAACACCAATTCAATCACACTGAACCTTACATACAAAGGAATTTTGAATATGGACCACTGTTAAGAATGAGAAATGGCTGGGCGTGATGGCCCACAACTTTAATCCCAGCACTCGGGAAGCAGAGGAGGCAGATGGATCTATCTCTGTGAGTTCATAGGCCAGCCTGGTCTATGAAGTTGAGTTCCAGGATGGCCAGGGCTACAAAGAAAAACCCTGTCTCAGAGAAACGAGGGAAACAGAGAATGTGAATGCCCATGGTGACTTGCCTTTAATCCCAGCATTTGGGAGGCAGAGGCCTCTGAGTTCAAGGCCAGCCTGGTCTATAGAGTGAAATCCAGGACAGCCAGGGCTACACAGAGAGAACCTGTCTTGGGGGAGAAAAGAGAAAATGAGAAATGATCAAAGTACTTCCTCAATAAAAGATGGAGGTTTCTCAATATGTTAATGATATGGTTTTTTAACTCAATTTTACCAAGATATAGTTAACCAAGAAATATATGGATACTATTTTTTGTGTCCCATAAAAACTTTATAATAATACCATTAAGAATAAAATGGTTGGGGCTAGAAAGAGGGCTCAGCAGTTAAAAGCACTGGCTGCTCTTCCAGAGGCCCTAGGTTCAATTCCCAACACAATGCCGCTCACAACTGTCTAAATTCCAGTTCCAGGGGATCCAGCATTCACTCAGATATACATGCAGGCAAAACAACCATGCACATACATTTTTAAAGTTGTTTTTGAGTTAAGAAT